TGAGGTTTAAGTGTTAGAGGATTCTATATAGTTGGCATATAAATGATCATGCTAGTTTTTATCACGCTTGTGATGATGTTCAAGTGTGTGAGAGGAAGTCCCCAAAACATCACGGTCTTGCCCCGAACACAAAGCACCCTAATTTTTAAATTATATGGCAGAAAACATATCTTGTACACGTTCATTTTAAAGGTACGTTATATTCAAAATGAATGACGATAGCGTTGCATTTAGGTAACCCCTACAGAGTTTGATGCATTGCATCAAGTGAGGTATAAGCCTCTTACTCGGATGATTTTACCTCATTCACATATATGTCCACAAATGATACTAGTATAATGAAGTCAGAGGAGGATACATATATATTAATTAAAAAAAAAAAAAGTATTTGCAAGGAAGTCGGATTGGATGAGGGGAGAACGAGGGGGAGAATCTCTCTAGATGGAGCAAGGTTCCACCAACAAATAACATTCAATTAAGAACATGTATGAGGATGGGTTTTGAAAAAAGATACATAACTGCAAATCAATAGTAATTTTTTGCATATGTTCACAACATATTGAGATTCAAGCGGTACATCCAACCCATTTTGTTATTGGATATAAACCACCTTCAAGCTTTTGGGGTATAACAAAACCCATTATTATGAACCCGCAATGTCCAATGATTGATATTTTTTTAAAAATTAACATTTTTTATTTCATTGTTTGTCTCTAATAACTTCTGGATGTGGTGTGGTCAATGCTGACATTGCAGGCGATGAAACGTTTTCTATTAACTAAGGAGGAACACTGTTTTTTATCTGTGTGTGACATTGTGGGGTATCCAACAATTGTGCACCGTGTGTGGCACAGACAAACTCCAATTTTCTCACCGGTTTTCCATTGTTGCAAAGGGCCCCTCATCACGGTAAAACAGAGGGAGAGGTGAGGCAATGTAGTATACCATGCATTGTTCTTGGCCGTAGAAGCTACATGGAAGCGGGCACAACCAACAAGTGTTGAAATGTAAACCACATTAGGAGCATAAAAAAATATTTATTTAAATGTAAAGTATTGAAACTTTATATATTGAATTATATTTTCTGTTTAATTACTTTTTCAGTTTCATAAGATTTCGGCAAACTTCTGATTAGTTATCGCGAACATTATAGGTGGGTGGAGAATGGAGGGAGCGGTCGAGGATCGGCATGGCAGCTGTGTCTTCTTGGTTTTGATGTTTTTCAACTTTTTTATTAATAAAAGTTGCCATCAACTGAGGTCATAGCCTCGAGGTATGATTGTTGGATCGATCATGCTTTGAAGTGGGTGTATTGGTGATACGTCGCTTCTATTAGGGCATTTTTTGTGAATGAGAAGCAATGAACAGGGAAACAAGTTGTAGATGTTTGTGCTGGTGATGACGTCCGCGTATATTCGAGCTCGTGATGAGGTCTGAGTGTGGGGGAGGTACGGCTCCGCCCCCCTTTCCCCACACACCCTTCCCCCCCATGTTAGAGAATTTTATGTAGCTGCAGTAAAAATGATCATGCTAGTTTTTGTCATGTTTGTGATGATATTTAAGTGTGTGAGAGGAAGTCCTAAAGACATCACGGGCTTACCCCGAACACAACGCACCCTAATTTTAACTATATCGGGTGGGAAACATACCTCGTAAACGTTCATTTTCATGCAACAAAAAATTTCCATGAAAAATGGAAGTTAAAAAAACATTCTATAAAACAAAAAAAAAAAACCCTTCATATTTACAAATTATCATTCCAATGTTCGTCCAATTCAAAACATTCTAGTTTCATTTGATAAGTCCCCGTTTAAATATGAGTTTTTCCTTCCAACAACATCTATTTATTCAAGATGGAATGAAAGTCTGGACAAGTTTATGAAATGTTTTAATTAAACTTTCATTCTAGTACAACAAATATCTTATAATTTGGATTGGATTAACCTATTCATGACTGAAAATCCTTGCTTAGTATGACAATCCAATTAAAATATTTTAGGAACTAATCCAGACTTCCATTCCATCTCTAGCATGCAGTTCAAATAAGAAGGGATACCCCATTCTTGGAAGGAAAGTTTTCAAGTAAAACAAAAAAATTTAAAATTCGAATGTTATTTTTTAAGATGAAATAAAAATTTGAAATTTAAAATGTAAATTCTACTATAGAATGATTATTTAACTATGGGATTTTTTTTTGATGTGGTGCGTTATATTCGGAGGAGACGACGGTAGTGTTCGTCTCAACCGTCTGAGAGGCCCCTCTCGTTATCATTAACATCAACACCGTCACTGTCACTATCACCTTGGTATCAGTGACAACAATTTTGCACTTGCAATTAGAAGCACTAAGCACCTTTCCAAAATAATGCAAAAATAGTCTTTAATCGGAGCTAATCCCTTGGCATCTTATTCAAGGGGAAACGATAGCTACCATTTGCACCACAAGACAAAAGCGTCTGCATAATACCAGGCGGCCAGAAAATGGGAAAATATCAGCCCCCTGGCCGAAACACGCACCACCGGAAGACACCCGATGGGGCAATGATGGCCTACAAATCGACACGAAAGAGACGCATACATAGCAGATCTGCAACGCACGTCATTTTGCTACTTTGAAAGCCAAACGCACCTGCAGTGTGGCTGCATGGTATGCACGTGACTGTGTTGCTAAACACATCATGTGTTCAAATCCTGTTAAGTACAATAACTCTAGGTGCTACCTCTTAAAAAAAGGAGGGGGAGGAAATTAGAGTCCTATGGACGTGGATGTACTGCCCAGTGTCTTGGAGCTCAGAAAATGGGGGCAGCAGTGAGACGAGGGTGAAAACTCTATTCAAAATCCGCATGAGTCAAGAGTAGGGTCGTAACTTTTGATCAAAGGCCAGAAAGAGGGGTCAAAAGTCACGTCCTGAGTCCCTTAGAGGTATGAGGAAGTCCCTAAGGGCAAGGGGTACTAGGCCCTGAGTCAAAAGCTGCGTCTAGTACTCCCATGCGGTACAGTTGACTCAAAGTCTCCCGGAAGTCAACCAGACCCGTAGATCAGATGGACATCAAAGGCTGTGTGCAGGTTTCTGGAAGATTTCAGTTCCATCAGGGACCCGACACAAATGGGACAGTACTGCATCCAGGCCATCGACTTAAGGAAAATCTCGGCTGTCCACACGGTCCAAGAGGAGGCTGGTCAAAGCCAGTCAACAGTGTAAGAAGGTGGTCTGGCCAAGGGGAGGCTAATTCTGCCTTGCATATGCACGTGGCCAAGCTGCACCCCGCAAGGTTCTGGCGGGTGAATGCTGGTGCCAGATTCTGGAAGAGGGCACCGGCCAGGAAGGAGATGATGTTTGGCGGCCATAGCCGTCATAGCTATTGACAGTGGAGTTGGGCGAGAAGGGAAGGATATGGACTGTGAGACAGGTTTGTGGAAGAGAAGCTTACCTTGTCTTACCTGTTGCTGATGTGGTCACGCTGCTGCTGTTCTTCACGTCGAAAGAAGAAGGGTTGCACCAACCTCCATAGCCAGGTGGAAAGAAGGTTGAGCGCCCTGTTTGATGCTGCACAGAGACTTCATCAGCCACGTGTCAGATTGAGAGAACCTTGCTGAGGTGTCGCTGAGGGAGATACCCCAAGGAGGAGAGGGAGAACAGCATACTTCAATTATTGATTATTAATGTAACTCTCCTTTTTTTTTTTTTTTTTTTTTTTTTTTTGTTGACGTTGTTGTGAAACAGCCTCCGGGGCTGACAGAGGTGCTGATACGAGCAGACACCCCTGTTCTCCCTCTGGCAGGCTCCCTCTTGCTAATATCTTTCTCTCTATGATGGTTTGCTGGTTTGAAAGATTCAATCACGTGAGAGTTGGATTCATACTGGGGACTATTTGATATGTGCTGGTTCCAGACATTACTATATTGTTGATTGCTTCTCAAGGAGACTGGGCTCATTGCAGGGGGGAGATAGTCCCGTGCTGGTTCCAGACATTGCTATGTTGTTGATTGCTTCCCGACGAGACTGGGCTCACTGCAGCGGGAAGATTTGGGGGGGGGGGGGGGGGGAGAAACAGAACATATTTGAGTCCAAAATGGATGTAGAAATCGAGACAAAAGAAGGCAGAATGATTGCACCTCTGAAAGTGATGTACCGTGGAAATTTAGGAGGTGCTCTGCACTTTGTTCACATCACCATTCAGCAGGCTTCAAGAGAGTTGTTGCACATCGAGATGGAGCAATGCCACTGTTTGCTGAAGAGAGTCAGAGCAGGGAAAAAGCAGATGCTGTGGCGACAAGGACATACGGTTGTAGGCACACCTTTGTCACAATTTTGGGTGAGAAAGGTCCCGAGGAGAGGAGCGCGAAATAGATGGCAAGAAAACTCGGCAGGAGAACTCAGAGAAAAACCCGGCAGGATAATTCGAGAGAACCAAAGCATATGATAAGTGCCAGCTTTTGTGGGAGAACAGACATAAACATATGACAATTGGAGGGAGGGAGGGAGGGAGGGAGGGAGGGAGGGAGGGAGGGA